TGGAAGTGTTTGGGAGGGGGAGGGATTTAGGTGCTTCAGAAGGTTCAGAACATTCTGAACAGGTGTTCGGAGTAAATTGGGGTTTCGATGACGAATTAAGCAAAAATCAGGTGTTGACAATGGGGTTTCTAGAGGTATTGGTCTCTTGGAACATTTGGTGGGGTTTGATTGGTCTATAAATGGTATGATCAAGGGCATTTAAGAAATGAATAACTTGGCCAATGAGATAGCCCAAATTAAAATCTTAGTGTGATAAAGGGTTAAATGGGGGATATTTGTGATGATATTTTGTGGTAAGGTGTTTATAAGTATTTAGAGCTCTTTAAAAGCCCATTAACTCTAATTTGCAATTCGGTTAAAAAATCATGTATGTCACATGAGTTCCAACTATTTAAAAAACAAAAAAAAAAAACTAAAAACCAAAAAAAGTAGGTCTACCTAATTCTCTAAGAATGACAAACCAAACAAATTTCAAACTCCTTGCATTCGTAAAAGTGGGCCATTGCGTGCCCTTTTCTACTTAAAGAAACATCTGAGGTGCCAAACACAACCTAAGTCACTGCCATGATTACGATTCAGTTTCATGCTCTTCGAATTGAGCAATCCGAAAAACAGATATACAAGTACATGTTCAATTTAATGGGCCGAACCACAACCTATAATAACAAAGGTTCTGTTTGGCATTGCTGCTGTTTCTACCGGAAATGATTTTCGATTGATCAATACAAATTAATAAGAGATGTGTATTCTCACATCACATATTAGTGTCACTCAAACTAAAATGATGAGACTTTATTTGTATAGGAAAAAGCATCAGTGGCCAAATCTATTATTTTAATAGTGTTTAGCTCAATTTTTTAGTGGTATTTATATAAATGTCATTTAAAGCTCCCTTTGGTGGTTTTGGTTCTTGAAAGATGGATGCCATTAATCTTATTGTAAATTGCAAGACTAATCATATATGAATAAAAAGGGAGGTACTAGTAATGTGTATTCAAGTTCTACTGGTTTGGGGGATTTGACATGGGTAGAGCTACTATCTATTCTACAAGATTTAAGACCGGGAAATTCATTGAGATAAGAAATTTACAAGTGGAAGGAACCAAAAGATAATCATCAGTTGGTTTAAAAATGGAGTTGTAGGAAGAATCTACATGATCATATGAAGGAGACAAGGAGGCTAGAGCCATGGTTGCTAGATTTAATGCAAGTTTCAACTGCGTTCCTTGATTGGAAAATACTCCTACTGATACTCTAGCACAAGAGGGAGTCAATAGAAGGCCTTGATATAATTAAGCATATATCCCCCAATATTTAAGTTAGTTGTCTATATTGGGTCTAGTTGTATATTAGGGAAGAGTAGAAGTGGGCTAGTTCTCATCTATCATTTGGGTGAGGGTTGGTTTCACTATTGTTGTACAATATGGTCTATTTGTATTCAATTATATTTTCTTTAAATTGATAAATCAGATAATTAAGTTACCAATGAAAACAGTAATGTTGAAGGTGCCAGCAAATTCAATTCTATTTTCTTTAACCATGCCCACTAAATTCTGTTGTTGATAGCTAGGGTTAAAGGGTGTCAATGGATCGGTTTTGGACTGGATCCCGTCCAGTCCAAAATAAATTTGGACGGACCAACAAGGCATATTGGATTGGACTATTAATCCAATCCAAAATATTTATTAGATTAGATTGGACCTGGTCCATCCATAATAAAGTTATGTTGGATTGGGTTTGATTAAGTTAATATGTGGTCCATTGATATAAGATAAGAATATAGGCATCAATGAATCAGGTTTAGGTTGAAATCAATCTAAATTAAAATGAATTTGAACAGATTGGACAATCCAGACTTTAAATTGGACTGATCCAAAATGGTCTAAAATATTCATTGGATTAGATTGGACCTGATCCATTTGTAATGGATTCGCATTGGACTGGATCAAATTGGACCAAATCCAGTCCAATTGACACCCCTAGCTAGGGTAATGCAAAAAGAAGTGGTGACAGTAGTGAAGGGTGAAAGAATGGTAGGATCCATCCAATGGACGCCATAAAGGTTGCGGAATGGGTGGGCGAATTTCAAAAAATTTCCTACCTTCTCCCAACTGGGAATCATA